ATTTTTACATGACATTACAAGTGATAATGATGAACTTCATTTTGGAGTAGGTATAGTAATGTTTTTGGTTTAGGGTTTATAATATTAAATTTTTTATAACTTATCTTTATTTTATAACAATTTTGATGGTTATGTAGAAAGTGAATATGAGGATGAAGAAGGTGATGACAACAAAAATGAATGAGATTTCTCAATAGATAGTTTATCTGATACTAACATGAAGGGTGAATTTAATTCCATATTGAATAGTCATAAAAATGCACAACATAGAGGTAGTAATGTTTATGGTTTGAATTATATGTTTCAATCTTCAAAAAGTTTATTAACTGTTGCATTTCGTTTCAATGCAAGCGTGATTGAAACTCCTTTTTGGAATTCAAGTCAAAATTATACTTATATTAATTGGGAACATACTGATGAAGAATTAGAAAATTTAGATATTCATGTAGATGAAGCATGGAAGGAGGGTGATGCATTGTATGTTGGCCAAGTGTTTGACTGTAAAGATGATGTAAAAATGGCTATTAAACATTTTGCAATGAAGGCACATCAAAGTTATTTTGTGGTGGAATCAAAACCAACAAAATTATATGTCAAGTGTCCAAATCATACAAGTGGATGCCCTTGAAGAGTTAGAGCAACATTAGGCAAAAAGTACCACAAGTGGAAAATCATAAGATGTGATGGAACACATATATGTGTTAATCTAATGATGTCTTTACACCACAAAAAACTTGATTCAAACTTCATTAACTCTTGTATAAAATGACACTTCCTAACCTTCATCATGGGATGCTCTCAACATCTCAAATGTACTCAAACACATGTATACTTTGAAAACATAACAATGACGGATCTTTAGGCCCTGGATTAATCACTAGACCTTGTGAAAAATATGATGTCATCTGATAATATTAAAAAAATTTGTTAGTATTATTAACATATTAAACATAACAAGATAATGGTAAAATTATTATTTTACCTATCTAAATAAACAACTACAATTTTATTGAACCAAGCTACATAATAATTGATAAATTTAATAATCATATAAAAATCTAAAATCATATTACAATAACATATTTATACTAAATATTATTTTTATTTAATTTTTATACAAACTATAAATTAATCTTAACGATGTCATCTGATAATTTAAATTTTTTTTTTACTATTATTAACATATTAAACATGACAAGATAATAGTAAAATTAATATTTTACTTATCTAAATACACAACTACAATTTTATTGAACCAAGTAAAATAATAATTGATAAATTTAATTATCATATGAAAATATAAAATAATATTACAATTACATATTCATACTAAATATTACTTTGAATGATTTTTGTACAAACTATAAATTAATCTTAATGATGTCATCTGATAATTTAAAAATAATTTTTTTACTATTATTATGACTAGATAATAGTAAAATTAATATTTTACTTATGTAAATACACAACTACAATTTTATTGAACCAAGTTACATAATAATTAATAAATTTAATAATCATATGAAAATATAAAATAATATTACAATTACAAATTTATTCTCGATATTACTTTAATTCAATTTTTTTACAAATTAAATTCATCTTACCATTACAAAACTAGTTACAGCAAATTAGCAGGTATGATTTAAGTGCAATTTCAATTTTCTTGTTCATAAATAATAAATATAATAAATATGTCTAATATTTATTAGGCTTCTAATAATATAATTTAAATTTTATATACCTAATATTTCAATTTTATTATATATTTACTAACATTAATGCCTGATTTAATATTTTATTACATGCAGAATTCGTTTTTGTTTATTTTTATAATAATAAAAATAATTTGTATCATAATAAGTGTATTAAAATTATTATTTATTTACATATAATTTTTATTAAGCTGTACTGTTTAATATTTATGTAATGTAAATATTTTTGTTTAATATTTCTATTATAATAGAGGTTAATATTTTTGCAAATGCTAGGAAGCCACATGTTATAATTTTTTAAACAAATGTTACCATTATAAAATCTATATTAGTCTATAATAACTTAAATATTCAAAACAAAATTAACTTAATATAAATATAATTCAGATAAGTTATATAAATTTTCTATTTTTATAAAAATTATTTGTTGTAATTATTATTTGTAACGATTTTACATTTTTATTTTTCTAAATATACATATATTTTATTTGAACTATATTTTAAATTTCCTCTTTATATTATCATTAAAAATGAATTTATTTATAATTTAAATCTTTTGAAATTCTATTATTTCTAATTTATTGAAAACAAATTATAAAATACTGTTTATTATTTTATAAATATGTTTTCGTGAAATTTTTATTTACTCTACTCAAAATTATTCTACATTTTAAACATGTTTCATAAAATTAAACTTTCTACACCTACAATTTACCCTTCTAATTAATCTTAACAATGATGAAATTTTTTACAACTTTTATTTAATTTATCATGTTTTATTATGCAATTTTAATTTCTTAATTTAACTAATTATTTATTTTTCTTCTCTGCTAACTTAATATTTTATTATGTTGTAACTAAAAATTACTTTAATTTCAATTTATTATTTTATAAAAACACTCAACCAAAAATTTATTTTATTCAATTTAAGAAAATATTATTCTATTTTTAAAATAATATTAATCTATTTTTTACTGACTTTACTAAATATTTTACACAAAATTTACAATTTTTTTATAATTGTACTTAAACTTAAACATATTATAATTTTTTTCAATTTAATGCTAAATTTCAGAATTAAATATAACAACAATTATTCAACTTTTAAATCTATTTTTTTAAAATTAATTCAAATTTTATATTTTCAATTATTTTTACATTAAATTGCTAAAAAATATATAAAAATAAAAATAAATTACAAAAAAATTATACATGAAAATTTTACGCTTCACTAACCTCTTTTGGTGATTCAAATAGAGTTCCAGATATCTATTCTCCGGTGCCACCACTTGCAAATTTTCAACATTTACTAAACTGTTATTTTTCATTTACAAATAAAATAAACATATTTATTACAAAATTTTATTCTTACCTTTGAATTTCGTTCAGAAATATACTGTAAAATCAACAATTTGTTGCCCCAAATTTGACACCGCTAATGGAGAAATGCTATTCTGGCCGGCGTTAATGGAAGACAAAAGTGCAGGAGGGAAGAAGGGTTCTGCGGCACCAGCATCTATCCTGCCACATGTCGTAATCAGACCACTATCGCCACTGATGCACCAATAGGATAATCGACGACCCAAACTCGACACAGCGTAGGATTTTGACACGTATTCAACTCTCCCTTACGGTTGATTTTTTAAAATTGCCTATCATTGCTATTGTTGCGATACATATGCCCATCTGACATGTAAGCAGTTATCGCCCTCAAGTGTCTGATACAGGAAAATATCTTTATTTTTATTTCTTTAAAAATTACTCAAACAGTTCTGCGTTTATGTGGTGAGAATATCAGTTGGAGGTTGTCGATAATGTATTAAAATATTTTAAAAAATAGAGTATCATCCATGCAGATGCGATATAATTAATGATCTGATAAAAATTCACACTAAATAAGGAATATATTTAAAAATAAACTTAATTTAAGAATTTATTTTTAAATTAACATTATTTAGATAAATTTGCCGTTATTCGTTATCAAACCATTCAATTAGTTCTCGATATTATAATTATTAGTTGTTTTACTCATTAAAATATTGTCAAAAAAATAATCTTTGAAATTAAGAAGTATTGATATTTTAATTCCTAATGTTTTTTATATATTTAATTCATGACTTTTGCTTAAATGGAGTATTTTTCTAATTAAGTCTTTATAAGAGAAAAAATAATATAAAAATATTTTTTTTATAAATTAAATATAAATTATACTTTTTAAAATTAAAGGTATTAAATAAAACAATTATAAAAAAATAAAAGTTGATCTAATTTAAAAAAGAAATTTATTTTATTTTATTATTTTGATTTTTAACTTCTATAAGTACTTAGTAATATTTAAAATAAATATTTTAAAAATTAATTATCAATTATTTTAATTTCTAAATTTGGTATACTTTAATATTTTAATCCATAATTTTATCAAATATATGTCCCTTTTAACCTTAAAGTAAGAGACTAAATCACCTGATGATTATTAAAATCAAGGACCAAATTGGTAATGGTAATACTTATTTTAGTCTTTTATACAAAAGATCTATGGCTAAATTACATAAATCAATAAAAGCAATTAAAATTAGTTAATTTTTTTATTTATATAAAATATTATAACATAATAATTTTATCCTTACTTATTATCTTTGTACCTAATATTAATATCAACATTTAAATTTTATTGATTTTAATTTAAATTTTTATCAATTTTATTTATTAAGAGAAAATAAAAATACCTTATAAAAAACATAAAACGCCTTAAAATAAAAATCACTAAAGTTTTCTTAAAAAAATATCTTATAAAAAAAGTGATTTTATTAACTCTAGGCCATATAATTGATTTTTGGCACTTGTAAAGAGTACATTTTTATCAATAAAAATAATATTTATAATGCTTTTATGTTTTCAAAATAATAAATATTTTGTATTTTTAATAAAATTTGTCATTTTTATTATTTATCTTAAGTCTTAGAAGTTAAAGTTGACAATTTTTAAACAACAGGAATAGTTATCATCCAGGGATTAAATTAATTTTATAATTTTTTATACCAAATTAAATTGTAGTGCCTGTTTCATATATTAAATTGATTGACAATCATGAAAGTGAATGACAAAATTTGTTGGTTCACGATATTTGGGATTAAATTAATGGTTACTTATAAGTTCAACCACTGATTCAGTGTAATACTTCGTTGTTTTAAGTGATAATTATTGGCTTTGGGGATAAGCACTTGATCTAATAAGGGAAATTTGATTGAGGTCCCGGGCTAGTAATTGTTGACTCTGAATTTCATAGGTAGGTATGAAAATATAATAAATCTTTACTTTTTTTTTATCAATCAGAAGGAAGCACATGTTGACTTTAGTGCTTCAAATTACACAACTTAATTTTAAATTTTACAACATGTCATTACATTAATGTTTTGTTGAGAACATACTTAATGCCTATTAAATATACATTTGAAAGGGACTGCAGTTCAGCATAATCTTGAAATCTTTGATTTTTGAATGCTCGCCATCATTGGCTCCTTGAGATTAATTTATCAAACACTCTATTGTCCATTTCATGATGACTTATGCCCAGTCTCAATTTTAGATTCATTCGACTAACCAGAACTCAACAGCCAGGCTGCTGGAAGGATAAGATTTTTCCAAATAGAAAGAAAACAAGATACCTTAGTCATTGAATGTTAACGGGTGAACCTTTGAAGTTACAAAACCATTCCAAATACGGAAAAGACATGAAGAATAGCAACAAATGTTTCTCTTTTTCTTCTTATCTCTTTCTAAAAAATAAATAAACAAATAATAAATAAGCCAACATGTTACAGGCTAGAGAGAAAGAAGCTAGATAAACAATAACGGGTCAGGCTCCTTCTCACGGAGTAAATGTTGATTTGATCCTTAAATTCACACTGTATTTACAAAATTAAATGGCCAAGTTGAGACGTATGCAGAATCAATTCACCTTCGAATAAAGTGCACGTCCCCTGATCGTTGATCAACATGCTTAATCCATTTGTTGTGTCCTGAAACGGAGCTATTAGCATTACCCACTGTAGCAGACAAGTGTGCCATCTCAAGCCCCTTCCCCACCGGAAGAAACACCGAACGAACAAGACGCCGAGATCCTTGTGCCAACACGCTCCTCCATATAAAACTTGAGTTTGAATTTGCGTTCTTACAGAGCAGCACAGCACCCTCACTACTCAACTTGGCAAGCCTCAACGCTCTGGCAAAGTCCTTTCTTCGACCATCCACCACCATGAAATCTATGCCAACCAAACCATCCATCACATCTTCTGCTTCCCCCACCACTATTTCCGCCGACACACCTGCTTCACCCATTCTTTCTGTGTATTCCCTCCTTGACCTATCATCTGGGACTATGCACACGTGTCTTCCACCCGTATGGTGGCTCGCTACGGCTAATCCCACGCTTGTTGGAATAACTCCACCCTGCGACCATGTCTCCACTACGAGCTGCGCGTTCCACCCCGCAGCCATGGCGGAAACAAGCTCTGCCACACCCGATTCGCGGAAAAGCTGACACTGCACATACCGAAGTCAAGGTTAGAAGTGGAACAACATGAATGATGAGATAACAATTAAGAAAGGTGACTTAATTAACAATTACCGATTGAACTGTGTCGATGTATGCTTTGGATGCTCTCTCTGGTGACCAAACTAGTTTCATTTTTTGTGCGTGTTTGTGTTTGAGTTGTGTGCAAGGGGAATTGGGGGAATAGGGGGAGTGGGTTTTATTTATGTGAAAAGGGTAGGGACAAAGAGCGTTGACATTTCGTCTCTCGCTCGCTAATCCAACGTATTGCATTACGATATCAGTGTGTTTTTATGGGAGAGGACTAACGACGTTGTTACACTCACACCTCATTTTCTCGGTGCTTTCTTCGTCACAATTACTTCCTCTAAGGCTCTTACATCATATGCCAATACCAAACAAAGGAAAGGACTAAGTAACACCCAACTTTTTCATTTCTTTCTGTTGCCGGTTTTGGATTTTAGTGCGGGTTCTGTTCCTGCTTGCCTTTCCCTTTTCTGACTTTTATTCTAATTGCAATTGCAGCCTTGGAGACAAGCCCAGGGTGGTGATTGGCCAGTCACACAAAATATCAATAATATATTCAAATATCACTTCTTCTCTCTCTTAATATTTATATTAGGTAACCAATGCGACTCCTCTTTACAATTTTGTTTTCTCTAATCACTGACAATTGATTTCTGTCTAGCTTTGGGATATCTGATTTTGATTTTTAAATTGCTTTTTAACAGACTTGGCGATTTCAGAAATATCCTTATTAAATTAAAAAAATTTAAAATAAAGGACAATACAAATGTCCAACGGCAAGGAGTGGAGGATGTAAGACCATAGAAATAGGAACAATCCAGAAGGAAAATGGTCCAATAGAGACCGGTTTAAGATTGGTTCCAGAAACAAATATTTGTCTTCGGGTTCTGAGGTCACCGCCTTCGTAATTAATGACTACGACGAATAGGATCCAACTTCCAAGTCACGTTCAAAAGTTGCCAGCAGCATATATATTTAGCAAGAGCCTCGTTATGGGGAAAATGTATTATAAAAATTACAAAAATTATATTTTTTATTTATAATTAAATATTTTTCATTCCTTCTTTTATACTTTTATAGCATTCCTCTTTAGCGTGAAACAGCCATTACTTAATCCCATCACCCAGCCGAGAAACGCGCACAACCTTCATATTTTGGTCATTATAAATTTGGCCACACACAAGAAACAATATGGTCAATGTTTGCTTAGATTATTAACGTCGTCAGCACTTGAGTTCACATCTTCCATTGTATGTACACCACTTCTCATCTCATACTTCTAAGTTTTCATCGAAAATAATATATTATTTTTATAGCTTTTCTTTTTATTTATTCTAATAAATTTTTCAATTTTTTTATTTTAAGAAAATTTTTATTAAATTTATAAGATAAAAATACTTAATTAAACTTATTTCTAAGCATTGGTTATGTATATATCTCGGTAGGACCTTTAACTTGTATTGTAACAACAACAAAAAACCATTTCTTATGTACCTACCCCATTAACTAACAAACCGCCCGACAGTAATGAAAGAGTAACAGTATATTTTGTTTAAGCTTGACAAAAACATTTCTATAACATAACTTTTGTTTAAAACCTTTGGATGAAAAACAGTATTTCTGACAACTTTTTTGAAAAAAGTACTACAATATTTTTAATGTTTTTTATGAAAAAATTTACATAATTATTATATGTTTTTAAAATATATATTTTAAGTGAATAATGTTTTTATTTTAAAAAACATAACCAAATGAGACCTTATAATTTATTTATTCAATTAATTTTTAATTATGACAATTATAGTCATTCCTCGAGTTTGCTCATCGTTTTTAATTACTATTACGATTTTCTTGATTATTTTACACACTGCTGTAGAGGTATATGGCCTCACAAAAGGAAAGAACAAGCTAAATTAAAGGCAAATGTTAGTCAAAGTTGTCAAGGAGATATAAGTGATTTAATATTTTAAACAGTGAGAAATATTCAACAAAATATATTAAATAATTCATAATTGATATCACTAAACACTGGTTAATAAATAAGCTAAATTCCCGGCAAGAAAAAAGGAAAATATCTTTGAATGAATGAACATGGTGAATCAGCGAAAACAAAAGAGACTTTTTTGACCTAGGTAGCTTGAGTGGGAGACAAACAATGGTGACCTACTTTCCGACTCTGAACCACCCAATTAGCAGCACAAACTAGTCACAATCTTCATCCGTACATTTTAGTATATCCGTTCACATCATAGCTAGCTAAAAAGCATGTATTTCGCCTGGTTTGAACTAGACCTTTTGTCTCCTCATAAACTAGCTACAACGACGCCTAAATTGAAATTCACTTAACCAGCCAGTTGAGAAAAGCCCACACAATTTGCACTACTATCATATTGTCTATTTTATATAAAATTTTGCTTAAAAATTGTACATGTACAAATAAAATTTCTCCATAAAAAAATCCAAACAACTCATAGAACGTGGGCAATGCGGTATAATCAACGCTGAAATCATTGTTTTAAATGAAGGCTCAGTTGCCTCATTCTATATAGCAATAACAAAACCCATGAAGGGTTTGCACTTGCTTGCTAGTCTGTCACTGCCTTTTGGAGAGAGGGAGGAAGATAGTCAAAAGTCAACTTCTGCAAGTAGCTATTGGTGTTTTGTAATGCGTTGCATTCACGACAGATGCATAGCAAGGTGCTAAACATGTACGATGTATCCTTTCCATTCTTGGATAATGAAGTCAATTGTGTGATCGTGGCCTGTTCATGACAAAACTAAGAAGACAGTGTTCAATTGAAACAGAAGTAAGAAAGAAAAGCACAAGATGGTTCTTCTCAATTAGGCCATCTTTTCATTTGTTTTTTTCAGTGGCATTTAATGAATTATTTCATGTTTTAGTATAAATTTTGTTAAGATATATTATATTGATAAAAAATATATAGCTAAAATATTATTTATAAGTGTTTAACTTTTTTTATTAATTAACTTTTAAAAACAGTTATTTTAATTCTTTTAATATAATATTAAATTTTATTTAATTTAAATATTAGGTGGCTCAAAAATATTTAGTCCCACAAATTCTACGTCCCAGATGTCAAGTTTTAGATGTGAGAAATGTGTGTTAAGGTGTTATCAGTTAAGAATATGATCAAAATATTAATAAAGTTTTTTTCTCTTATTAATTATTTTTTAAACTAAATTAGGCTCAAATTTCTTGTAATATTTACTTTAGTTGTTTGAATTAAAGTATATTTAAGAGTTAAATTTTTAAAATAAAGGAAAGAGAGATCATATATTTTTTAAAAAATTATAATTAATATTCTGTACTTTATATTTTTAAATAAAATTATAAAATAATATATTAATATAATTTTAATGTGTTCATATTTTATTTTATTTTTATAAATGTTATATGTATCTTTAAATTTAAAAGTTAAATGTTTATTTTTTTATCTCTAAAACTCAACTTTTAAATATATTAAAAAAGTTATTGATAAGTAACTCTTTTAAAATTAGTTTTTTTTTTTAAGTACTCATAAATGATAACTTTGAATTTCGGTATTATAAGCATACTAGGGTTAAACTTTCTAACTTGAACTTGTATTTCTTTTTCATATAGTTATCATTACTTTTTCATCATGTCGATGTTCTTCTGTTTTATATCGTGTGACGTGTAATCAAAGTTCGCATTACTTTTACTTAATTTGTTGATTTATTTTGTAGGAAAAAATAGAGAGAGATCTCTAAAGTATGGGTTTAAAAATGCAATATGAGAACATGGACAAAAGGTTTAAGAATTGAAAAAAATGTGCATCTTCATGAATTTTTTGTTATATATATAATATTGTCCTCTTTGTTCGTTAAATAATTTTAAAAATTTTAGCTGATGACTTTAAGATATTAGTTAAGGAATTAAAGGTATTTTTTATTAAAAAAATAAAAAAACACTTTCATATTTTCAATGTATTTTAGTGTAACTTTTCATTAAAATTTTTCATTTTAAATTTTTTAAATATTTGAAGAGATTTTTTATATTTTAACAAATTTACTTTGTTATTAATAAATAATTAGTTTTTGAATATAATTTTAGATTTAATAATTAATATTTATTTGATTAAAGATAATAAATAAATAAAAGATTAAGTAAATTTTTTTATAAATTTGAAATTATTAATTATTTTTAAAATTTTTGTATAAGACTTTAAGTTAAAAAAAAAAAAAAGATAACGACTCACAAAGTTTGCTAAAAACAGGTTATTGACGCACTTTTTTTCTTTAATTTTGGAACCATAATATTTTTTTTTTTACTCCACACGTATTAATTTTTTTATATTTGATGTAATTATATTCTTATAATTTAAGCTCATAATTTTTAATAAAGTTAAAATAACTTGATGCAAAATCATTTATGTATTTGTTTACGAAAATATATGAATTCAATTACTCAAAAATATAAGAGTATGGTTGATTTTTGTTTTAAAAATAATTTTTTATTTTTTAAAAATAAATTCTACTATATATTTGTATTAGATTTTATTTTTAAAAATAAAAAATGTTTTTAAAACAAAAAGTAAACATACTCTAACACTGTTACACTTTTTTTAAAATTTAAACTTTCAATTGTAACAGCATCTAACAATTATATTAATTGTTATTAATTATTAGTTGAAAAAACAAACCACCCTATTATTATTTTAAATAATATATGATATTAGAAGATTAGAAAGCAATAGAACAATATACCATTTTAAGCAACTTAATTATGTACAACACTTGAGAATTTGAAAATAACAATTTTAATAACAATATGGTATTTTTTTATAAATTCAAAAATTTTCAATAATAACAATTGGTGCAAGTATAAAAATTTAGATATACAAAAATTAAAAATTATATAATACTAAAAATAGCTATTATTAATTTCTTTAAAAGAATTATAAATGTTAAAACTCACTAATAATAATTTTGAAATTTTTTAATTTTAAAAATCAAAATTCACAATTTTTAAAAAAATTTTATTTTTTATATTTTTTTTCAAAATTATATATTTTGATATTTTAAATTTTTTTCATAACATTGATAATGTTATTTACCTAGTAGTTATGTTTCAAAATAAATTGACTTACAGACATCAATAAAAAAATAAAATTTGGGATAGAA